GGTGAGGTAAAAAATCCATTTCGCTGCTCCATGTTGCTCCTTCGTCCTATAAAAAAGACATCGGACAACATTAAACATGATTCACTAATCGTATACGCTAGGTGATAGAGACTTTAACATTCCGGCCTGGCTATGGCTACTGACAACTAGGAGACAGTAAACTCAACATATGCACTAGTGGACAATGAAGCAAGGCCAGTCTAACAGTCAAGCAAAGAAACAAGTCTAAATAAATGCTCAATCTAGTTCAAAAGCTGAGGCATTCAAAGTATTACCCCTCGTTCGTAGTCTTCTGTTTCAAATACTCGAGAAAGAATTATCCCGTGCGCATTTAGTATTTCCACAGTACTAAGAAGGGCTGAAAGAAGAAATGCCCAACAAGATAAGCAAATCATAGTAAGCCAACTTGATAGTCATTCATATTCTGATAGAGTGAACATTAGACAAGTCCATCAAACAACAAAACCCAGACACTTAAGTCTGGCCAGCCGAATGATGGAATCCAAGTTGTTTTCAGGCATTTGGTTGGCAAGTACTCACTACTGATATATTATAATGTCCGGCTGTAATAGGTCTACCCTTATCTATTCGGTTAACATATAATACTTCTAAAAGGAATTAGCCTCTAGGTTGTAACAGGACCTCCAGGTCGAGATAAAATCACACCGTTAAACCCATTGCGATTTTAATATCGATATAGAATCCTCTCATCGACTACACTCCTCACAACAAATGAGATTTTGGATGGTCGTAATTGTAAAAGCTATGCACAGTGTCAATATTAAGCTCACAATCATATAGACTAATAGACAGTCCGTTAGATACAAAATACCCCTTTTTAAGAAATTGCTTACGCACGTCACTATACCGATCAAGTGTCTGTAACATGAGATCCCCACCTAAGCAGTAATGAGATTGCTCATCATAAATCACAGACTAACACAAATATATATATTATTGAATAGAAGAATATCAAAAGGAAGAATATAATCGAGATTACCTCTGCTAGATCTAAATCGAACTCTGAGTTGAGAGCTGCTCTGAGTGCTATTTGTCCTGTCGCCATTTGGATATTTTGAGGTGTACGTGTTGTCCAGTCATCCGATGACAATCCTGTTCGTCTTTGGCACGATGATCCAAAAATTGAAACAGAGGTAGTCCCATGGATGCATGTGGTATTGGAGATAGGAAAGTTGATGTTAGTTGTGAGTGCTGTAGAGCCGTCGGAGATGGATGAAGAGACATTTACGTTGGCATGTGCTTGTGGCCCATTGCAAGGGTCCTGTTCCTGTTTTGGGTATGTAAAGTTAGAGTCAAGCGATAGGTCGGTTTCCAGAGGTTTTGCAGAAGGACTGTGCTCAATGTGGATCGGGGAACTAGATTTGTTGAGAGAATAGTAGGGAAAGACAAATAAAGAGGATAAGACAAGATAGTAAATTTGAAATTAAATTCTAGGAAATATAAGGAGAAATCAATTCCAAAGGAGAGTAAAAGCTAACTAGTCAAAGGTGTGAGTAATCGAAAAAGGAGAATGAAAACACATCTTAGGGGCACTTTATATAATCTGATGATAATCGGAAAGATTTAAATTAAGCCCGAAATTTAGGTCAAACCCTACACATACACACCACCAATTCGACTGCTTATACCATGAGGTCTTCAAATGGAGGGTATACAATAACGTCTAGTTAAATGGACTGTAGAAAGAAAAAGTTCCCTTCTCCAGACATAAGAAAACACATATAAATGGATTTGGCTCGTTTTTACTGTTTAGCCGATGTGACAGAGAGACCCTATATAACGTTCCCCAGTCATGAGTCTTTAACCAAAACAGTCATGAAAATTTCCAGAATCGGGCCATTAACTTAAAACATTCCCATAGACTCATCAACGAGGGGTGCTAGCCTTAGAACCAAATTAAATCTCATCATGGTGAAGAGTGAAGACATTGCCCATTTTTTCCGTTTATCAGTTGAGGAGTCCTACTCCATCCCACCTAATAGAACAGTACCCTCACCTCTCGATCCCAATCCATATGATCAACTTACCTAGCTACATCTCTTTACGTTCTAGTTTGTTCCAATATCTTTAAAAGTTGTGTTAATGACTGAATTTAATGAAAGATAATCACCTTCATCATTGGTTTCGCATACCATCTGCGGTGCTTCCTGATCCCAATCGATACGTCCTATCAGCCAACCATTTAACTCAACTTCCGTAAGTTTATCTATGCTATACTAGGAAAGTATTGTCATACCAAACTAGCTGATTAATGCCTCAATCTATATTGGCCAAGGTATCTATAATATTCAAAAAATTATTTACATGTCTGGCCCCGAACATATGATAGAACGTGTTCAGTGGCTTTATCATGGAAAAATCCTAAAACTATAAGTCTCATGCCTTCTGTCCTTTATAGCAGGTCCTGACGGATTCAGAGACCCAATTTTCCCTTTATCTTCTCCCGCCTCCACGCAATTGTCTGATATTCTTTGGGGCAACTGTGCCTGGATTCTTTAGAAGCACTAGCTGGAATCTGCAACCTCATTTATCCATCTCTGAATTAAGTCTAACATTCGTATCGTTTTTTACGTTATCAGTCTCACTATTTTCCATTCGACGCATATGTATGGGATAGTGAAATTAAGGGTTCCAGTCGCCCTAGGCCGAATAATGTGATAAGACTAATTGTTGGGTCTTCTCACAATGATATGAGCACACCTCATGTGTATACAAAGAAGAGAAAGTAGGATTAAGGATATCATTACCACAATACAATAAACTACTAGATAAGCCCTTTGTCAGATTCTGAATAAAGAATTGGTATGATTTGGTTTTATCAACTTGGTCGTGTTGCCAAGGGAACCTGGTTGGATGCACCATGTCCGAAGCCCTTTGCTATCATCATAATTACCCGTGTTAAACCGTGTACTTAGTACATTTCCAGACGTCTCGTCAGCATCATCAGAAAGTATTGCCATTTTTAGCGCCAAGCTAAACTCGTCAAAAAGACAAGGGGAATCGAGCCTTTAACCAATTGTCTGCTGAACCCTATAGGACGCCACCAGTCCTATGTTTTTTGCCAAAGCAGTCATGAACATTTTCAGAATCGGACCATTGATGTTTGCCCGGGTGCATCCACCTGCCCAATATCCTCGTATCACAG